TATATATATTCTACGAGTAATATCTAATATATTAAAAAAAAAAGCGAGAATAAATTATGTGAATATGAGAAAAGTGAAATCGTAGTTCCCCGGAGCTTATCCTCACTCGGCCGCGATTAAATCACGCGGTTGATTAAAAGAAAAAAAAAAGGTAGATGGGGTGGGGGGAGGCAGAGGGGAAGGAAAAACTCGCTCACGAATTGCCCAATTGCTTAATCTCAACACGAGGCTTGCGGCCGACCTCCCCCGTCGCGCCCGATCGATCGAGTCAAGATATTGCGTTTGATGACGATGTGGGTCGTTCGGCGACACGATTTCGCAACTATATACTAATAGACCTTGATCATCGCGACTGGTGCCAGACGCGAGCGTAGGGGAGGGGGGGTTGGAGCGTCATGGCTGTCAAGTCGAGCCGCTGACTCGGCACGCTCAAAAGTATCGGTGTCGGCGTTTTTCACAAACTTTATTCCAGCTCTTATCTACGTTACAACGTGACTCCCCGTTCGAGCGTCGGGTCTTCGTATTGTAAGCAGCGCGATGACTTCTCGTTCTTTCGGGAGAGATTATTGCCGCATGAGAAGACGCTCGCTCGAAATCGCGACGAACAAGGGCGATCGATAGGTACTATCGTTATTATTATTATTATCATCGTTATTATTATTTCTGTTATTGTTTTTGTTGTCGCACAATCTCGTGATCTCGCACAACAGACAGAACGAAGTCGTTGCCGGCGCCGACGAGCTTATCGTGGACCTGCGCGTGTGTGAGCTGGCTTATCGGCTCCCCGTTTAGTTTGACGATCACGTCACCCGCTTGCAAGCCAGCCGCATCAGCTAGACCCCCGATCGCCACCTTGTCGAACAAGCAGTAACAGACTTAACGATAATGCGCGTACGGCGCGTCAGCTTCATGCAAAAATGATGACAGCCGGTCGCGGGTTCACCCGGCGGCAGCATCATCGGACGGAGTACATCGATACACCGCGCGAGACGAGGCGCGAGTAAATATCGCGTGTCTACCGAAGGCGAGTCTAACGGGAACATGAAGAGAACGCCCTTACCCTGACGGCGGTTAGCGGGAAAGTGTAATCGACGCCACCGGAGAGCCGAAAGCCCCACGGCTGACCGTTACTTCGTGATAATTTGACGTCGCTGGTGGTCGCCATGGTAATCGTGCGAGTAAGGCTTGCCTGAAAACAGATGCTCACGTGTCCTTCTTATCCTTCGCTTATCCTTCGAAATCGCGAATGAAAATCGATAGAAAACACGATAGAGACTGACATTCGTTACTGTCTACTTTCTTTTTTTTTCTTTTTTTACATGAAAGTGCCTTTTCACGCTCGACGCTCATTTTCAGTGTTAAAATGCATCACGTGATCAAGGTTGCTGCTGGATAGTGAAAAACGCGTGAAAGGAGCGCGTGGCAGCGTTTTAGCGCGTAGTTTTTTTTTTCTGAGAATTATGCGATTCCTTTTTGTCAGGAATCACGTTATATTTCACTGTTTAGAACAAAAGACTGAGAGCTTATTATACCTATTATGGATCCGGATTTACGTGACTTAGCTTTAAAAGCTAAGTAAATTCCAAACTTTCTTCTTTGGTGCTAGCGTCGGATTAAAATCACGTGACCACGTTGAATGGCGAGCGTCTCACGAGTTGGCACCTTGAGAAGACCGAGAGAGTTTCCCCAGGTATGTTGTGACACCATGAAAGTATCGATGCTAATATTGAAACGGGCGGCTAATTAAAATTGTCGATATCATTATTGATATAGTATCGGGACGAAAATATCGATACCGTTGCTGGTATCGAGACTTCAAATTGGAGGGAATCAGGGAAGTGCTTATTTTGCAAGCTATTTTTTAAGGGTTTCGTGCATAATAATCTTATTATGGTATAAAGGTTCTACGTTCTGCACTAGACTTTCTACCGTGTTTGTGATCCAAAAACCTTAAAAGAGATATGTTAAAGTTCCCGTGTCCTCGCTATGACTGTTCGATGACGTCGAGAAGTGAGAAATCGTGCGCCAAAAATGATTGCGGTCTGCGTGGAAATCAAACAATATACACAAAATGACACTCGTGATCGACTCCGCGCACTAAGAATAATGTCCGAGCGCTTTCGCGCCTCAGCAATCGATAAATAACCGTAAACCGAACGTAACCGAAATCATGAGGAAAGATAGGTTCATGAGTTGCATGATGCGCTGATTTTCACGGAGCAAATATGCACGATATCTCGACTGATCGACTGTTCTCGAGTATCGAAGCAAAGCACGTACGGGCACGGCGAACTAATACGCGTGCGAATATCGAAAGAAAAAGTAAAACATCGACGGACACTCGGTATTGAAGGAACGAGTATCGATATACCAGCGTATTATATCGGTAGTATCACAACATCCCTGGAGCTTCCCTCCTCTGCACTCACCGCGACGAATCCGCCGACTCAATCGGCCGATCGAACGGCCGGTCGACAACGCGCCCGGCGATCGAGCGTGGGCGGGCGATGATCGGCCTTCGACATCCGCGCGCGCGGCGACGCGCCTCCGAGCGATTCGAATTTCGATCAAGCATACATCTCTCTACTCCCGCCCGTGCTGGACCTACATACTATTTCCAATCTCGACGAGGGGGAGGCATGCGCGGGAAGTGCGGTACGCGCGCTTTCGCGCGGCGATGCAACCTGTGAGGAGGAGGCTGAGCGCAAGTCGGTATCGCCGGCCTCACAGCGCGCGCGGGAGCCGACTCGAGAGAGAGACTCGCCGGGACTCCCTCTTCGGCGGTGCGCCCTCTCTCTCTCTCTCTCTCATCGCGTCGAGGACGCGCTTTGACGAGTCTCACGTTGATCGGCCGACGACGAAGTTTGATTTCGCGGAGGGCGCACGCCCCAACGGGCGACCCCGGTCCCGGCCTGCTGGTCCCGGCCGCGCACAGCTAAGTCCTCTTCGGAGTCATGAGCGAACCTTCGTCCGGAGAAGGTCCTCCTCCTGCGCTCGTGAGGCTGCCGCACCATCCGTCGCGCTGTGTATCTCCTGCGCCTACATCCGCCGGCTGTATCCCCGAGGCCGAGTAATCGCGCGCCCGGCGTCGTTGCCACCGGTTCGTCCGTTAGCTATTACCTCGTTTCCAGGTCGTCCACCAGCCCTTCGTCGTCGTCGTTGTCGTCGTACCTCTTGCACGCGTCCACGCGGGAAGCGAGGCGTTAAATGTCGAGGGTAAGTGGGTGATTATTCACTGTCCGCTGGACGTACAGCAGCTTCGTGACACCTCGAGACGCGTGTAGACCGGGGGGTGCTTTTACGACGATAACGATCCCTCGAATCGGCTGAATCCTTTCACCTTTATAGCACAGATGTTCAACGGACATTCTACAGACGTGCCGGAAATATTCGAACATCTCTGGAACGTCTCCAGGATGTCTTTTGAACATTCGCGTCGTGTGCGCGTGTGGGCACTTGCAATTTCACATTGGCCCGTTTGTTTCGGATGAATTCGAATTTCACCAGCAACTTCCGATTAACTTAATTGACCGATCGAGTGTCAACCGTGTGATCGGTTCTTTCTGATCAATTCCGCTCGAATGCGATCGGCTAATTTAGGTGGAATAATCAGTCGACCAAATTAACCGGAGGTTGTGAAACTGGCCTTTAATGTCGCACCGGAACTTCGTTCCTCTTTCCTTCGCCGCTAAGTTACATACTTGTTTCACTCTGCGAAATAAAAGTGCAATCTATTTCAGCCGAAACGAACAAAATCATTGCATAAAAGATATTCAATTGTGTATACACACACACACACACACACATACGCGTATTTTCACTTCGATGTACGGGCGAGCTATCACGTTATGTAATGCGTTATGTATGTGTCAGAGCGTAAAAGAGAGAGAGAGAGAGAGAGAGAGAGAAAGAGAGAGTGTGTGTGTTTTCTTGTTTTCCTTTTCGAAAATGAGGCGAAGCGCCGCGGATCCCGCGCGTCTCGCTCGTTGCACGAAGCGCAGTGTCCTTCCTTCCGTCCGCTTCCTTTTTGGCGCGCGCCATTTATTCGCACGCGACGCGCTCCTTCCGGCGGTCCGACTCGCGCGTTTCGCTCGGAGACTCGCATTTCGCGCTGGGGAATTCGGGGCGGACGCGATCCCTTCGCGCCCGTGAACGCCGGAGCGGATCTGCGTTTCTGATGAGATCGCCGGTTTGCATAACAATACAATAATACGCGAGAAATCGATGGCAATTTGAGGACGATGGAGGGAGGATAAAGGCGACGTCGGTGCTGTCGAGCATCCGTCGGTCTTTCGGAAGGGAAGAGAAACGGGAAAATATCGGCCGGTCTCTCCGATCGCAGAAGCTGCCGTACTTGCGAGCCCATCGCGGTGCGTTTTGTATTCCTTCCATAGATTCGTATTCTTCCCGTTTCAGTGATCGTCAGAGTGTCATGGTTCCGGCGAATGGAAATATCCGTCGCTTACAGGTAGCCTCGACCTGCGTAAGGATACGCCTCCGCGCAACCTTTCTACGTAAGTTCAACGAGCACTTTGCCTACACGTAAACAATGGTCTGTGCTTCTCGGCTGAACCGGCTGCGCTTCCAGTTCGAGGAATTTACATATTTACACATCGAAACGTGCGAAGAATAATATTCCAGTTAGAAGAAATTGTTTTTCTAATCAAATACGTCTGAAAGATATCTGAAACAAAATAGAACGGCTTTTAGCGATACTTTTGAGACATCCCTTAGACATTCGTTCTGCCTGGGATATGTGTGAGATCCCCACGCTTGTGTGTAAATCTCCCGAACTGGTGCAGTCAGTTCAGCTGAAGAGAACAGACCAAATGCCTCTCGTCTTGGCCCGAGGTCGAAGCGGCACGCTTCGGACCGTGAGGTGATCAGTCCGCACAAGAGTCTGAGAGAGAACGATTAAAAAACGATTGGGAAAAACAAAAGATAGAGAGAGAGAGAGAGCGCGCGCGCGTGTATGTGTATGCGATATGATCCTCGCCCGTCCGACCGGGCCGTTCAGCAAACGGCCGGCTAGACAACAGTTTTTCCTCCTCTTTTCCCTTCTTTTCCTCCTCGCGACGCTTTCGATCCTGTCGATCCGTCGGTCCGGGTCCACGAGCCGGCGGCGTCGCTCGGAAACGACACTGCCGTCGCGTCTGGAGCAGCGCGCGTGCCGCGCGTGAAATAATGTTAAAGGAGCAACTCGAAGAGGAAGGAGGATGCGACGCGAAACGAGCGAAACGGCGCTACTCGACGGGAGAGAGAGAGAGAGAGAGAGAGCTCTGGGGGTGGCTTGTGCCGCCGCTGGCTGCATCGATCGTTTTCCACCGGCGCTATAGCGGCTGTTGCCTACGGATAGACGGGACGGACGGACGGACGATGCGACCTCGTCGCGTTAGAAAAACACTGTAAATCGCGAGATCGCGGCGCGAGGAGTACCGAGCGTCGTCGGCTTCGAATGGGAATCGACGGGCGAATCGGTGCCCCGATTACGTCCGGTCGCTCGACCCGACGATGACCGTGCGGAACGACGACGAGGACGACGATGTGGCTGCTCGAGGCCGATCGAGAGATCGCTCGCTCCGCTGATTGACGCAATTAGCCGCGGCGGTATGCCGCCTAATGCGATTTGCGGTGTGCGCGATCCACACCGCAAATCGTATCACGCGCGTCGTGTGTTACGTCGTTAATATTTCAGTGATCGATAGCGCGTCGCGTAGGGAAACGCGCGCGCACACACACGCACACATACGCACGTGTCATACACATGCACAGGAAGGGGCTGCTCTTCCGAAGGGGGTTGGCCGAATCGACTATCCGCGCGCGCCATCGCGCGCTATCGATCTCGGCGCCGATTAAAGAACGATTCGCCGGCGATAGCCCTCGCGACACGGCCCTCGCTCGATTTCTCCCCTCCGATCGTCTCCCGTATATCGATTCAACGTCGTCATCGTCATCCACGAAGCGCGTTATTGCGCGCTTCCTCATCGTCGTCGGCCGGGGGCTAATTATCCCCCGACGACTAATTGCCGACCTCGAGCCGATTCCGGATGAGGAACGACGACTCCTCTCCGTTAACTCTGTCAATTCCCTCGCGCTCCTCTCTCTCTCTCTCTCTTTCTCTCTCTCCCGCTTGCGGTGCGCGCTCGTTCTGCGTCGACGACGTTGCCGTCGATGCTGCGAGCCGATCTCTCGCGCGACGCACTTGGACGGGCGTTTGCGGAGGAAGCGGGGGGAGGGGAGACGGCGGAGGGTTGTTGGGGTTTATTCAAGGTTGAGCGAACCTCACGTGTCGCTTGTCAAAGGGCAGGTAAGCCGCTGGAAAATGGACTCGCCTGTACGAGAGGCCGGCTGTTCTATTTTGCGCGACACGCCGGGGAAACGAGACGAAATCGAGTGACCACCGGGCCGATAGCCTTCGCTGCCAGTGATATTCCCGACTCCGTTTGAAGAGCGTGCGTGTGTCGCCGCTTAAAATAGCTAAATACCCGCGGTACGAGAGGGATATACATCTTTATCCGCGCGCTCACACGGTTTACCGGCGGTGCAAACACACACACATTCACAAACATATATATACGGGCTGCATCGGGGGTAAAACTTCCGGGATCGATTCGCGTTTTCGTTCTCTTTCTCTTCCCTTTTTCCCTTTCTCTCTCTCTCTCTCTCTCTCTCTCTCTCTTTCTCTCTCTTTCCCCCTCTCTCTCAAATTACCATCGCACGAGGATGAGAAAATATAAGCGACGACAACAACAGCAACGCGTCAAGCATCGTGCGCTCTGTGTCCGCCGTAGAGCCTCGTCGCAGCGACGACGATTCGCCGTCGATGGAGGATCGGCGGGACCGTTGAACTCGGCTCGCGACAGGTGGTGGGAACATGCCCGGACGATCGCCGGCGAGGGCGTACGAGCGGCCCATAGAGCACGCGGGCCGCAAGCTCGCCGCTACTTGAATGCCACCGCCGCGGGAGGTGAGCCTCTGCGATTAGCTCGGTAACTCGGTAACCGTGTGCGATTCGCACACACATAGACATTAGATCTCCGCAATAAAGATCGAACATCTCTCGGAGATTCCGTTCCTCTCCTCGTTACAAGAACAAATGACCAGGGCACGGGATGGGCGAGTCCTGGCTCTCGGTCCTACTCGCTGCCACGGTGACCACGATGACGATGATGGCCTGCGTGACGAGAGCGGCCGAACCATCCTCGGCGGCGAGCCTCACGACGACCGCACGTGACGACCCTCCGCTCGACGCGAAACGGGTTCGTCCTTACCGGATTGTTAACCCTTCGCGCGACTCGTGGGTCATTTGTGGAAGAGCGAACGTTCGAAGAGATCGTGAAATTTCATTAAATTCAGAGCGAAAATTCGAGGACTGGAATTTTTATCTAAGGAAACGGGCGATAAGGGGGGGTCCATATTTATTGTATTGTTTTCGTCAATCTACACGGAGGAAATATTGCAGCGAAAATTACCGCAACATTTTCCGACGCTGCACAGCGGAGTTATGACTGAAATTATGATGTAAGTTGTAACCTTTAGTGAATTGCATTTCGTTGTACGCATCGTTAAAGATTACAACGCACACCTGAGTAATTTCAGTCTATAATTCCGGTACAATGTTTTCTCCATGTACTGAGAAGTTTCGAGCGCGAGCAAAGTCACGAGTATTCCCGAAGTGACCCGCGAATCACACCGCGTTAGCGAAAGATTATATTTCCTTCTCTTACAAGCACGAATATTTCTTCTCATAATATCACGTGTTGACGCAATATATTTATTAATGTGAGGATTGAAGTTTTTATTTATTAAGCTACCGTTATTTCACTTTGATTTACCGTTAGCTTATTTCCATTCTTAATTTATTGTTATGAATTTATATTTATTTATTCGATTCCCCGGGCAAAAGTTGAATTCGTTTATTATTTCTCTCAAATACCATTTTGTTTCCGAAGAGTGACAATTTTCATTCGTCCACATAATTATGCTTCTTTCAGCGAGAATCAGCTAAACCATTTTTTCTTTTTGTGAAGGGTCGTCTTTCAAAAATGTGAATCTACAGGGATTTCGTTCAACGCGTATAAAAGTTGTGAATTTTCTCAAATATAAAAATCGCTTCCTTCCGTGCTTTTCTAAAAGGAAAAACGTTGCAAATATTAAAGGTTAATCAACGTTCTATTACAAACAACGTTCACGATAGAAAGTAGAGACCTGAAACAATCGGCAAAACATTTCTTCCCGATGTTCTGTACGTAAAAAAAGAAGTGGTTCACAAACGACCCACGAATTACATATATATCGTTAAAGAGCGAGAAACAGCGAATCACACAGAGTGTTAAACTCGCCAACCTCCACTCCACCCCTAAGTTCCTCTTCTCGACTCGCGAAGTGTCTCCCTGATCGGCGGTTCGTCTCGTTCAAGGCGGCCATCGAGGAGGCGTTGGACGTGATCGAGGCTGCGTCCACCGGCTCCCTCGGCGAGGTGTGCGTGAACACGGTGGGCTTCAAGTCGCTGCCGGCTGGTGTCGAGCTGGACCCGAGACGTTACGACACGGCGCGGCAGAAGGCCGACATGACCGCGATGGTGCTTCAAAACCTCGGCGCCGCCGAGGCGACGCGACGTAACGGTGAGTACCAGCCGCAGGTGAGAAAGGGAGGTGAACGACGCGACCTGCTCCGCTTTTCTCTCTCGTTCCTCTCTCGCCCGCTACCTGTTGCGCGCATCCGCAAGAGAGAGAGGAAGGGCACAGCGCCGACGACTGACGAGATCGCCCACCCGCAGCTCTCCTGGACGCCCTGACCAAGTCGCTGCTCGTCTCGGTGGACGACGCGGTGGAAGCGAGGGTGATCGCGCTCAACTCGTCCACCGGCACCGTCATCGCCGCGGTCTGGCTGAAGCGCAGCCCCGGAAGCGTCGGCGAGCCGACCAAGGTCGAGAGCCACGCACTCCAGCCCGGCACGAAGCCGGATCCCAGCCTGCCCTGGTTCGAGAACGCCGGCGGCAGCACCGAGCTAAGGTTCGCCGCATCGACTGTCCGCACATTCGCAGCCTTACTCGTCTCGCAGAAGCCAAAGCTCTGTCTCTGTCTCTCTCTCTGTCTCTCTCTCTCTTTCTTTCTCTCTCGAAATTTCTCGTCTCATCTTCGACTCTGAGAAACCTGGGGGTCGATTGTGTGATCTCAATACGGTGAAAATTACAAAAGTGAATTCCCATTTGATCGGGTAACTTGAAAATTGATAAAAATTATATGAAATATATTTTGTATAAATTATATAAAAATTTATTTGTGAAGTACAATATTTCACATTATTTCGCAGAAATAAACGTTTATTTAAATACGGCGAAGTAAAATTATATACCTGACAAACTAATGAAAAAGAAAAATTTAGGTATATATTTCACAAAAATATGTATTCCGTCATCGCGGTCAAGTTTCTTCTAACCGATAAATAACGAGGAAAATTTCATAAGAAACTTCGCGAAATTTCAATTTCCTTTTCTCAGTGTGTCCGTCATTAAATACGTCGTTTCCCAGCGAAAATCGGACGATGATCTTCTGTACAATGCATTGTAGAGAAACATCCTTCTTACCTGTTCGTTCGAGAATCGTTGACGTGACAGTTTTCGAACAGAAATTTCCCCGGTTACGCTCTCATCAGACAGACCGTATTCGCATAAAACGAAAGTACGAGAGATGTGAAAAGTCGACGAAGACGCACAATCGATCCCCCGAAGAGACCCCACTTATCTCTCGTGTATACGCGCGCGCACGCACGCACGCACGCACGCATACGCACGTACGCATGAGGACGCACATGAGGCATACGCACCGAGATCACGCGAAGAATCTCTTAACTCTCTTGCACCACTGTCGTTCATGCTTAACGTCTCGCCTTTCTCTTCCGGGCGTATCCCGCGATCCGCCGGTGTGTGATCGCGATCGCGGAAGAGAATCGCGCATGTGCTCGTCCTGTAGGCGCTCCACGATCATTCATCATCCCTCATCACCCCGTATGAGCGGCAGGTCATAGAAACTCGATATAACGGCGACAACGGAACGCAAGAATGTGCGATCCGCGCGAGGCGCGCCGACCTTTTTGTTCGGTCGATCGTGCAGCAGCAGCCTACCAGCGGGGATGACCGTGAAGTGCCGGGCGTATACGACTCGTTGCACGAAATCACGTGTGTCTTACACTGAGGGAGATTGAGAGAGAGATCGAAGTTTCTATGGCGGCTTGTGGCGTTTTGCGTTGTGATCCCAGGTCACCGAAATTCATGCAGTCACCGCCGATTGAATCCTACAGGGGTTGGTGGACCATCCCGTACTTCTCCTGCAAGACCCGCCGCTGGCTCATCTCGTACAGCGTCAACGTCAAGTCACCGGACGTCCGACCCGGGTTGGTACATCACAGTTCATTGTTCACCTCGGCGGCTCTAAGTGCGCAGAGCGAAAGGAATTAATATCGATTCAGGGCTCATATTCTCGCACATAAACGAGAAGTTTTTCGTGTTAGAGTTTTAGCTTCGTACATATATTCTTGCTTATATATTTGAGAATGTGAATCTTGACACTAATTTTGTTTCTGTGTGCCTTTTGCTAAATTCTGATTGGTCCGTTCGGTGATTAGAAGTCAGAAGCTTTTAATGGCTCGACTAGTAAAATCTTAAGTGTCACTCGCACTTTCTGTTTTGTTAAAATAAGGAGAAATTGTTTTGTTTTATTAATTTTTATTTATTTCATCTTATTAATTGTGAATCTTTCGACTACCGCTGAACGACGGATCACCCAGCTGGAAATCAGGTTCGGCGATTCTGCCGATTATTCGTCATCGATCGGCCTAATCGGAGTTCAGTGAGAGCCACCTTGGCTCCCGACGAAATTTCACACGCTATCCCGGATGCGTTACACGCCTTCTGACCTTCGCGTTTCTCGTTGAAGGGTGAGAGAATTCATAAGCATGGACGTCGACATAAGCAGCTTGGAAGTGAACCAGTGCGACGCGCCGCCTCCGCTCAACAGCAACGACGGACTCGAGCCTCCTACGAGTAACCAGATCGCCTTCTTCAAGGGTACCCACAAGTGCCACACCGACACCACGCAGGTATGTGTGTGTCGAGCGATTTGTCAAAGTGCGCGAATCTCCACGGGGAAAATTTCGGGGACACCGAGAGGGACGCGGAGAGTTCTCCAACGAGACGTGAAACGTTCCCCGGGATACGGCGGCAAAGAGTACTCCTCGTTTCCGGTTTCAGTGCGTGTACCAGGGTCCGGACAGCCGCGTGAACGAGAACGGCGTGGGTGCCGGTTGGGCGAAGGGTGCGTACGTGTGCAAATGCCGGAAAGGCTTCTACAGCGTCAGCCACCACCAGACGGATTTCGACGGGATCCTCGTGGAAGGTCAGGAATTATCCCGTCATCCCGTCATTACCTCGATCGCGTTAAACTCCCGTTTAACTCCCGTTTAATTGCGAGACCACGCAATCACGGAGTTGCGCAATTGCCTGTTGCAGCCGCGTGGAAGGAGATGAAGGAAAACAGGAGCGACTCGTACGAGAAGGCGTTCCAGTGTCTGCGCTGCGCGCCGGGATGCGCCGGATGCAAAGGGCCCGAGCCCTGCTTAGCGACGTACAACTGGCCCTTCAGGTTCACTTCCCCCTTCCGACGATCGCATAAATATATCCGTAATGATTCGCCCCTTCCTCAATCTTACGAAGCAAGTCTGAAAGATACGGAAAAAATTAAGTATCAATCCAAGACTTAAATTAAATATATATATATATATTCCAACGGACGCAATCATTGTTTCATATATAAGCAAGAACATATTATCTCTTTGCGAAAATTTATTAGAAATAAAGTTTAATTTGTTGACCGTTATTTGCGTAGACTCAGTGAAGCGAGAGATTTAATCGTCGATAACGAGAATAACTGAAGCTTCCTTTATTAATAACTTTTTAATAAATAATGAACGCGGATTGGAACCTTCGAAAGGTCACTCGGGAGAGTTATATCCGCAATATACGTCAAGATCAAGATCATTGGCGAGGTGTCCCTTAATATGCATAATTACTGAGTATTCGAGTAAAATCCAGATAGATTAGATTAGATTATTGGAAATCGGTATTTGACAACATTACTTGCTTCATCGAATTACTATTTCTAATTCGCAATCTTTAATCCTTAATACTAATAGCCCGAGCAGCACTAATTGGTTGGCCAGCCGTTGCCCAACGTTCGACCAACGACACCCATACGAATTTTGTATGACGATTCCTTCAGGTAGAACAGGACAAGCGCACTTCTTTGGGACTTGTTTCGCTAGATCTAAGGAAAAACGAATCACTGTTCACGGGTGTACGCGTTCACTTGATAGTACACATCACGCCTTCCTCGGTATCTTCAATTAATCCGACCGTCGTCTTTTCCAGGATCACGCTGCTGGCCGTCTCCATCTTCTGCGCGTTCGGCACGATCGTGCTGGTGGCGTACATGTACCAGCATCGCAAGCTGAAGGTGTTCAAGGTCGCGTCCCCGATCTTCCTGTCCATCACGCTTCTCGGCTGCGCCTTGATGTATCTCGAGGTGAGTGGGCGCTTTTTCTTCCGTCTTTCATCGACTTTCAGCGAGCCAACCCTGACGCTCCTCTCCTCCCCGTCTTATCCGTTATCAGATGGCCGCGATATTCCCGGTTCTCGACATGTACTCGTGCATCGCCACCAAGTGGACGAGGCACATGGGCTTCTGCGTCTCGTACACGGCGCTGCTGATGAAGACCTGGCGGTGAGTAACCCTTCGGTCGAGTCGGGCGTTAACGATACGGTTGAAATTGATCGCAAAGCAGCTTAATCGGGAGAGTAACGGGGGAGAGAATCGTTCGTCTCTTCGTCCGCAGGGTTTCGCTCACGTATCGCGTGAAGAGCGCCCACAAGGTCAAGCTGACGGACAAGCAGCTGCTGCAGTGGATGGTGCCGATCCTGCTGGTGATGCTGATCTACCTCGGCACGTGGACTCTGAGCGCGCCGCCTTACGCGGAGGTGATCACGGATAATCGCGATCTCAAGTTCTACCAGTGTTCTTACAACTGGTGGGATCACAGCTTGGCTATCGGTAAGCGCGAAAACTCGGCTCCTCGCGCGCGCGAGGAGCACGCGAGGACGCACGTCGCATCGATCGACGGTCCTCGCGACGAGCGAATAACGACTTCCGCTCACTAACCCTAACGTGTAACGCCTATGTATGTCTCTTTCCCTCTCTCTGCGGACAGGTGAAATTCTCTTTCTCGCCTGGGGCATAAAGGTATGTTACAACGTGCGAAACGCGGAGAGTCTATTTAACGAAGCCCGTTTGATAAGTTACGCCATTTACAATATAGCCGCGGTGAACATAACCATGATAGCCATTCAGTACGTAAGACAATGAAGTATATACATTAATAATATCACGTCTGTGCGCGCGCTCGCGCGATTGTGCGAGGCGATATCATATCGTTCACGTTCGTTATTCGCAGCCTCTTCATATTTCCCCGCGCCGGGCCGGATATCAAGTACGTACTGGGCTTCTTGCGGACTCAACTTTCCACGTCCGTCACGGTCCTCCTCGTGTTCGGCCCTAAGGTAAGAGAACGCTCGTGTCTTCCGTCTATTTCTCTCTCTCTCTCTCTCTCTCTCTCTCGTTACCAGTCTTACACGAGTCTTGGCGTTCGTATTATTCGTAAGCGCATTCTGAGACGACGTTCGTCATGTTAACTGGCGTCGGTAAACTTACGAGACTCAAGGCTTCTCCGACTGCAGACGCATCAGTCCCTTTTCTTCAGGCATGCTAGATTTCCACTTCTCTGTTCGATTGTTCAGGTAATCAGAGTGTTACGAGGCCAAGGGGATCAATGGGACAGTCGGGCGAGGGCGCGCGGCGTCACAGCGAGCTTCTCCCTGAACGGGATCGGCTTGGTGCCGGAGGAGACGACGGACTTGTATCAGGAGAACGAAGAGCTTAAGGTAATCGTGCTCATTAACAAACTTTTACAACCTTTACCAGTATCCATCGTCATCGATATACCGAAAAGTAGCCCGTACAACATTGCCATGTATTATTTTTGGACGAAATGGAAAAGGTATACGATATACCTGAGATAACGAAGAACAAGCCAGGATTTCCGTCACTTTCATGGAAATGCATACGTCGTATTATACGTATTTCCGGTCACGCGGATAATAACGTGTGAATAATTGTATCAAAGCAGACGGACAATCTTGATTTGTCCTTTGATATCTCAGGTATAGTGAACAGGCTTTCCATTAGTGGTTATAGTCTCGCGAGCGAAATGGTGAGCTCACCGCCGCGGCGCGACGTACGCGGCCACCACCGAGGAGCAACTGAACCACCAGAGATAGGTTCGCGCTTGCGAAAAGCTCGCGCCTGGAGGTCCGGCAACCACTCTATGCGGTAGGACGGCACCGGTAGCCGCACCCTCAAGATGTAGATCTCCAATAATATATATATATTTTTTATATATATATATTTTTCTATTATAATTTTGTTCTTTCTTTAATATTCTAAGAACATTTGTATAATATGCCAAGGATATTACGTGGACATATAACATCGACAGAACATTTCCTATAATATTAAACAATATTACATAGCATTTTTAGAATATTATGAAATATTATTCCAATTATTGAATAATATTCTAGGAACATCACGCGCTTATAATAAGTGTTCTTTTATTCCCACGTAAACTGTCGCATAAATTGATCGGCATGATTTTCCTCGTTCCCGACGTCGTTATCATAGAAGGACAGCTGTAGCGGGCATCCTTACAGGAGTTATCCTTAACAGGCTCTAGCAATCGCGGTATATTCCGGTATTACCCGGTCTTCCTCTAACTGTCACAGGAGGAGATCCAGAAGCTGGCGGCGCGCATCGAGTTCATGAAGATCGTACACATGGAGATGCACAACCGGCACATCAAGCCGAAGATGGGCGGTTACTTCAGCACGCACGGCCACGGCCACGGTCATCCGACGGCCGGGCAGAGCCCGATCGCGAAGAGCTCCACGGCCAGCTTTATCCTCAAAGTATGTATCTAAGACGCTCCGTCACCGCGCCCTCGTTCCGCGCGCGTCGAAGGAGCGTCCTGGGAAATAAATCGGAGTAACTTATTGAGCAGACGGCCGTGGAGCGAGGAGCGACGGCAGCCGCGGCCGCGGCCGTCGAGGACTCGACCTTCCCGTCCGGCAGTCTGCACCGGGCGCGCAGGATGGAGATGCTGAGGGAGAGGAAGGCGGAGCGCGAGAAAGAGCGGAGCAAGGAGAAGGAGCAGAAGGAGAGGTCGCAGCAGGAGAAGCAGCAGGAGAGGCGGGCGAGCGGCGAGAAGGTCTGACTAGTGATCAACAGCGAGGAGGTGAACAATAAGCTCGTTAATCTCGGCGCTGTTAATTAAAGGGGGAAGGGGGGGGGGAGAACGGTGTGAAGACTGAGGGAATTAAGGTCTCTTGTGAATTTTGTTTAGAGATAATTACGTGTATAAATGAAATTCGATTTGTGTCACGAGGTACGTATTTTTGCGTGAATATGAAAAAAAGTCAGCCCGATATGTCGATACCGGCGCCCTCAGCAAAGCTGGCGTGAAGAAGTTGAAAAAAGGAAAAGGGCGCTGGACGGTAGCTTGACGGGTTTTCGGTCACACGGTTGATTTGAAATCGAAAAGCCGACAAGATTCTTAAAATGTGAGCCCCTCCGCGCGACGTGACGTTTAAAATCGGGACATAAGACGTCTTATATTCCGATTTTAGTTACGTTGCCAGGGCCGTCTGTGAGTAGGGGATGTTTGATTTTCAAAAAGTTGCAAAAGTTATGCAACTTTGGAAAAAATTTATCTTTCGCTTCAATTTTAAACGATTTTGAACGATTTCAAACGCCAAGTTCTTCCAGAATGTGCGTGAGATACATACGGCATCATTGCATAATATTGTTGTCAAGTTTACGGCGATCTGACCGTCGCAGTGTCGCTGAACAAAGTTTTCGGCGCGAATGTCCACCGACATCATATCACTCAGGCTCTCGTTGTTATTTTGATGAAAGACCTCCAAACATCGTTCCATTAAGTCTGTCCTACTCATCTCAGTGTATATGCACCGCTATCGCTCGACCGCTCGAAGTTTTCGCCTCACCGAAAATGTTATATTTTTATCAATTTTTCAAACATTCACACCACAAACTTTCAGAGAATACTCTTGAAAAAAAGGTGCGTCTATCGGAATATGTTAAAAGAAAGTCGATTTTTTGAAGGTTCTACACTGTTCTCCCCCCTTAAGATCGAAGGCCACGGCCTTTCCCTTTCTCTGTTTTTCTCGTACGTAAACTAATTTCTTTCTCCTCTTCTCTCTCTCTCTCTCTTCCCCCTCCCCCCCCGTCGCTTCAGATATGGTTGTGACGAAGACAGTGCGCCGACAGAAACCAGAAAACGGGCAGGACGACGGCGATGACAACGACGACGAGGAGGAGGAGGAGAAGGCGGCGGAAGAAGGAGCTGAAGAAATTCAGATTGTATCCTATGATGTGTGACAGAAGACTGCCCGTGTTCGTGTGAGACGGTCGCCGTCGAATCGAAATTCCATCGCGACCCACTGTCTTCGCGCCATTGTGATAGCGATATCCTCGTAATTATTATTACGTCGTACGACCTCAATCAAATTGTAATCAAAATCTCCGAGGAGAAACGATTCACGGGAAGGGAAGAGTCGGCGGCGGCGACGGCGACTATCGCGCGTCGCGTTCCTGTATTATTTCGGCGGCATCGCTTCCGAGGACACGAACGTCTCTCGCTCACAAATTGACCTTAGCGACATTATTTCCAAAGAGCGCACACTCGAGCGTGCAACGGACGTCGTTGACGCGTTAACGTTTAATTGCGAAACGGATTACTTTACCGAATGCTTCGCTGAGAGATCGAACGCGAATGAATACGAAGAATATACACCGAGCTGTCACAAATGCACAAAGAATGCACCGACGAGTCCGCGAGTCGCTGTCGCCGTCGCCGCTTTGTCGTCGCTTTGACGACCGGATTATTTTTGCTTATCCGGCGAAAGCGCGCAACGTCGCTTTTTGTCGCGAACACCCGACAGAAATGTAAAACTGTGCGCTGAGCGAACGAACGAGGAATGAACGGCGAGTGCAAACTTTCGTTGTTACGATTCGGAAGATCTGTCACGAATCCGAAAAGGTTTCGAATTTGCGATTCCGCTCATAAGGTGAACCTTCATCGAAGAAAATCCGTGCGCGTTTCGACGCGAACGTGCATATTAATATTTTATACCCGCTTTATGTCCGCCGTTCGTTTGTTGTCCGTTCATTCGGTGTACACCCACACAGAAAAAAAAAACAGTCATAAATGAGCGAGAATATTATAATATCCTTGGAAGATTTTTAGTCTTTAATCGAGCGCGAGTACACCGTAAATCCAAGCGCGTTATTTTAGCTGAGGCTTTTCCTACACTTTTCTTGCTGTTTCAAATCGCGCCATTTAATACGACTGTGGACGCGTTAATTTAATCCGATCAAGCGTTTTTAAATGACGTAACCTGAAACAGCAAGAAACATGAATAAAAAGAGTTCCGGCCAAGTGTGTCATTTGTAAACGTTTATGCGTGCAAAAATACATCGATACAAGTTGAATCAAATCAAGGCTAAAAATCTTCTTCAAGAAGATTATAATATTCTTGCTTACATGGGAACATCAATCATTGATTTAAGACTAATCCTTTTCCGTGCACCTTGAAGGAGACGCGAGAACTTGAGTTTATCGAAATGACTTCTATATGTTCATGACGGCGCCCGCGCGCTTTTGCCGAACAACACCTTACACCTACGAGAGATACCGGACACACACACACACACACACACACACACACATATTACATTCGATATTAAGGGAAAAGCAGCGGACGAGGGAACCCTTCTTAAATGTTGTTACACAAGCGTTCATGTCACGCTCTTGGATTAATAATAGCACCGACTCTCGCAGGCGACCTTATCACGCCCGAGTGAGACATCCTCTCATCTGCCCGCAGGATACTTAAATACACATCAATTTCAATGTAAATGTTAATTTAAGCGGTTAATAGAATACGAGTGAAAATAGACGCGCGTACTATTCTCAATTCGAACAGTCTCGGACAGGCTTGACCAAAAGCAGAAGAAAAAAGGAGACGAATAAGTGTCGTTATGCCGAGAGCATAGGGGAATTGCGTTTCCGTGCGTACGTTTGAATTCCGTTGCGTCGTTTCCAAGTCGAGACTCACCGCCGAGGAGGACGTGGCTCGTCCCCCCTCGCTCGTTTTCCGTCGGTTTTCCGTTGACGTGTCCACGTACCTCTGATTTACACACAGGCGTACCGTGTGTGCTCGTTCTCGTGGAGTCGCATTTGAAACAATGCGAGCCGGCCGAGCGACAAACTCTACTCGTGACAGGTTGTAATAAGTGTTACATGTGACAATAAAAAGTTACGCAACGGGCGGTCGAAAGTGTCGCGGCGTTTCGCGATCGGCGCTCGGTCGCCCGTCGCGAAGCCGCGCGCGCCTGCCCGTAAAGAGGAAAAAAAAATATAACGAGAGATTAATCAAAAAGTTGTTTGCGAAGAGAGAATAGGGGGAGTACCGAGGAAAAAAAAGAGAAAAAAGAAGATGAAGAAAGAAATATCGTGCGGTGTGTGTGTGAGTGTGTGTGTGTGTGTGCGTGAAGCGATTAAGCGGGTTAAGGAGAGAAAACCTTCGCCTTGTTGGTTTACACTTTTTTAAGAGCTTACGTTTTCACGGTAGACACTGTTATCGTAGTTCGAGATCGTACAGAGTCGTCGTGCCGTTCAACAACGGACCGACCGGGTATTGCTGTTCGTGTCTAAGATATTTATCGTACGTAATATTATTGTTGAGTACGCGCGCGCGAATAATGCGGCGGCACCGGGAAGCGAGTGTGACAAGTGTGCGCGCGTTACCAGTACAATGTAGATGTTATCCGACGGCGATGTTCGTCGAGTTGGATCGATCGTCGCGAGATCCCGCGTACACGGAGTATCGGCTCGCCCTTGGTTCTTCTCTCTTAAGCGGTGGCACGCTTTATCCTCTCTCGTTAACGAAACCGCGAGGAACGATCGTTCCGTACACAGGGTGTCCCGAAATTAGACCGACAAACTGGTGTCAAAAGAAGCTTCACAAGCTGGTCCGAGTTTGCCAGCCTTGATTTCGGGGCTGTATTTCATCGGCGACTTTTCATCCGGTGAACAGTCGATTATTCCGTGCGTTCCCCCGGAAATCCCCGTGATAAGTGTGATTTTCAGCGCATCCGGAGGACCTTCTCTCTCGGTTCTTCTCTTCTTTCCTCTTCCACGGCTTCATTCGATACGTTGGGAACGAGCGAAAGTTCGTCGACAAAACGGTCGGTGTCGAGTCAGCGCGTAAAGATACACACAGAAAAATATCATTCTACTGCTAAGAAAAGCGACCGCTCAGTTTACTTCCCTTCCTTTAAGTAACGGTTATGTTCAACGGAGAATATTTTCCCGACAAAAGTTCTAAAATATCCTCAAATTTGAGAGAAGCTCATTGTCATGTACTCAAAGGAAGCATTTATTCTTTTTCCCAGAATATTATAAAAGTTAATCGAAGAGAGAGAGAGAGAGAGAGAGAGAGAGAGAAAGAGACAGAGAAAGAAAGAAAAGTTAAATTCGGTTGATTTAAATAAACAACTCGAGTTTGATTTTAATGAAGTATTCTTGATTAAAGTGCTAAACTTCCTAAGATTTAGAATATATTTCGAACAATTAATTAAATTTAATAATAACAATTTAATTCTTACGATGAACTTGTGACATATATTTGCAGACACATAAATTTACGAAGTGCTTAAAACAAATAATATTTATTTGTGTATCAGACTTCATGAATGCTGTTTCATCCCTTAAGCACAGTAACATTGAAAATCTCCAATTAGGCGCGTTATTTTTGAATATTTGTGCATCACATTTGCCGCTTCGCCGGTTCATCAAGTTATCGATGCACAATGATGATTGTCGTGATGCACGAATAATCTGATTGGAAATGTCTGATGTTACTGTACTTAAGGAATGACATGAATGCATGCATTAATCGCAGCATTAATGGAGCCTGTACGCCGCAGTACGTATTTTTCTGCGTGTAGAATCGGAGAATCGAACGGGGGGGGTCGAACGACCGACACAAAGGATCGGAAAACAAAAGAGTCAATTCCAAAGATCGCCACGAATCGAAGGTGGACCGAGAATTTCGGAGTATCCATCTTTCGGAGCGCGACTCGCGCAGATTAGCGTTAGTGTATCCGTTCATATCCGTTCGATCGGAGCATCAGCGTAATTAATCGATCGAAATTCCCATTCCGTCGGTTCCGGTTGCGAAGCGTTGAAGTGAACGCGACGGGGGGAGAGCGGAGGAGGCTCGCTCGGATCTCGTCGCGACGCATTCCGCGTTCAATGTAAAAAAAAAAACTCGCAAAAGAGGCGCTTTAGCTTTCGCCCGCGCGCGTTCGGTAGCTCGCGATATAGCTCGCTAAGAGAGAGACGAACGCTTTCGGTGTTGCGTGTATATCGTCGTACGTGTGACGAGAAATCCGCTTCGTTCCGCAACACGAGGAAGAGAGAAATAGGCAGACGAACGGTGAGGATCGGATGGAAAGAGGTGGGGGAAAGGGAAACGGCAAGACGCAAATAGTCTCCGCGTGTTCGCGCGGAGTCACGAACTGAAGGGAAATGTCGGCAAACGTCGCGAGTTCGATCCATGTTGATCCTACATCCGCGAACGGCGATTACTTTGATTTTTCCGACACACGAAGGGGCGAACAGAGAGGCGGGATGGACGAGAGATTCCTTTTCTCGGGGGAAGACGAGGACGAAAAAAAAACGTCGAATGGCGCGCTCTACCCCGTTCCTGCGGCACCCCGCCAAACAAAGTCGAGAATACATGTAGAACCGAATACGTATTTGTAAAGATATACTGTATGTCAGTGAATACAATAATCTTGGAGACACTCATCGATCGGCAGCTCCCTTCCTGTATTTCCGCCTCCGGTAAGATCGAGCGAGGAAAAGAGAGGAGAAGGAAGAAGAAGAAGTACGACAGCGTCGGATTTGTGTACGGAGCGTTTTTAAATGCTGCCGTGGACGCGCATAATTCCGAAATTTTAGAATTGGAAAGTCACGATTCCAAAAATCGAACATCCGGACCATCTCCGGAAAATATAAAAATCGGAGGCATGAAGTTGTCCCGAAACGTCATGTTACAACTTAAAGGGACGATTTAATGCTTCCAATATATTCCGAAGGTTGCATTCAGTTTCTGAGAACGTGACCTTTGGAGACAATTGCACTTCAATATCTCAGGAGATCGTCCCAGTATTCAGTTTTCAGGACGTTGTCCTGCTTTTTGAATTTCGATGTTCCTTTTTTTCGGAATTAGCAGGTCCACCTTAAATTCACCATGTAAATCTAGCAGATGTACGAGAAACGGGACAGACAATGTAGTGTGCGCTCTAGTGCTTTTCCTCACTTGAAAATTTATTTACACGCGCTNTATATACATATACATACATATATATACATATATATATATATATATATATAGACTGTAAGATATGAACTTTTTTCGTACCTCGCCGCTCGCTCAGTGACAGCGCCGGAGCGCGGATGACAAATCACTGCGTAAAAAATTGCACGTCGCCGTGGGGAAAGAAGACATCCGCGCGTTTTCAGAGCTCAGTGCTCGCGCGAGTTCGAGCAGCCAACAGCTATATAAATCCAAACGAAAGAAAAAAAAAACAGAAAACGCAAGATGTATGTAAAAACAACAATAACCGATCGATACAACAATAACCAATTATGAGGACACTGATACACACGACGCTAAGAGAACCGGACGGACGGTCGCTTCTCGTCGGCTCGTTTCCGCAAGGAACACCCTCACAGCCAGTCTACGCTCTCCGGCGAGGGCGAATTCGCGATCGCCCGTCCGAAAACCACCGTGGTCGGTACACAACAAACACACCGCGGAGATCGACGTGAAAAACACATGCTAACGCGCGGGGGGGGGGGGAAGACCCCGAGACTAGGCCCGAGTCGAGACGCCGCCGTGGTCGCCGCGCGGCGGACTGTTACACGCGCCGCAATAATAGTCTAACATCTTTTTTTTCTTTTTTTTTTCGGACATTTGTACTTGTCGAGTTACAGTCGCGCGTATGACAAAATATTACACTGCTAGGTTCGAGGCGTGACCCGCACCGTATCGGATGCAGCGTCGTGTCACCGCAACACCGTGTGACACGGAGAGAGACGTGTTTGCGCCTCGTTGCGCGCCTCTTCCGCGCCCGCCTCTCGCGCGATAACTCGCGCCGAGTTTCCGCGCGCCTGCCTTATCGCTCGTTATCGCCATCGTGGCCCGTGGCAACGTGTTTCGACCGATTGGCGAATCGTCACACGCCCGAGACACCGTCTCGGCGGAAATCGCGGAACCACTATCGCTACCCGGAGGGAAGTGGGGGGTAAAAGAAAGATCACGTATGAAATTTGCCCATATACGACTGCGTATAATCGTACGCATGTCCGCGACGAAGAAATACCGTCGTTCGCAAATCACGTGTAAGTAGGATCGAAGCGAATGCTCCCGGCTGCTCGCGGCTTCCGGCAGCACGCGATATCGGCGTTTAATCAAGTGACGAAGCGTCATTTTATTTTCCATTTGCGATCATACGCGCAATCCACATGTATGGGCAAAACTCATATGTGATTTTATGTAATCGTATGTAATCAAATGTAATCACTTTTTCCCGGGTATCGCGTCGCGACGCGCATCGGGGAGCCGTTTACGGTGAAAGGTCAGGCCGCATTCACGCGTATATATCATTTGGTCGATCGTTTGTAGCGTCCCTTCGCTGATCTCGACGCAAATCGCGAGCCGATCGATCGTCCATCGACCATCGTCTCTCTCGTTCACCACGCTCGTCACATTCCTCCGGAGGCTCGTGCGCTTTGGTATGACACATAACGTTAGTAGTCGATATCTCAGGTACTTACGTTAAACATATTCTCGCGATTAAAAGTGCGACGCAAGTGCTCTCTCGACGCTCGCGAGCGCGCACGACGAGCAAGAGGGAGAAGTCTCCGTCTCTTTTTCTTTTCTTTCGGAGAACTCATTGCGGAGTACGTCTCGTTCGTTTTCTCTCGCTCTCATTCTCTCTCCCTCTCTCTCTCTCTCTCTCTCTCTCTCTGCTCGCTGTACGCGCGACTGGCACGAGAAAACGGAAAGCCCTATCGAGACAGAGATATAGACTCAGATAAAGGATACCACGATCTTTCGAAGGAGCTCGAATAGCTGGTAGTAGTTCCTTTCCTCCTCACAGCGTTGACGTCTTCGTTATACGCGCGGAGTGCATAGAAAAATATGTTATATTTAAATCCAGACAGCGAGAGAGAGAGAGAGAGAGAGAGGAGAAGAAGAAGAAGAAAAGGAGGAGAGAGAGAGGCAGAGGAAGAAAGGGAGGAGTTCATTAAACGATATCCTGGCCGTTCTCGACCTGGCAACCGTAATTATCCCTCTCCCTGTGCGACGAGTCCTCGTCGTCGTCGTCGTCGTCCTGATGCGCTTCCTTCCTCTTGCGCACGTCATCCTCGCCGCTCGCCGAGTTGGCGGAGTGCGACTTGTTCAGCAGCGAGCTGAACTCGCCGAACTTGAGAATCTCCTCCATCGCCGACGACTCGATGTTAACCTGAAAGGATAAGCGAAGGCAAGTTTCTCTCTTTCTCTCGGCTCTTCCCCGCGGAATGCTCGGTCGCGGGAATTTTCGCGCGACCGTTCTCGACACCTGACTAACCGATTGTCGTTCTACCTTGCGCGGTCTGCCGCGTTTGTTCTTCCCCGGCAACGTGGGCACCGTCTGCGCGCCCTTCCTCTTCGGCCATTGCAAGTGCGAGTCCAGATGTTGCTTCAGCTTGTCCTGCCTGGCGAACATCCGCGGGCAGATGCTGCACGCGAACGGCCGCTCGCCGGTGTGCACCCTCCTGTGCCTCGCCAAGTGCGACGCCCTCGTGAACGCCAGTGTGCAAAGGTCGCACGAGAACGGCTTGTGCTGGGCCCGGTCGGACTTCAACAGCATCCTCGTCTCCTTGCCGTCCCTGACCGCCTTCTTCAGCATCTCCAGCTTCCTCTTCACCGCCGGCTTCAGCTGCTCGCCCGCGTTCTTCGACGTCTCCTGCGAAACAACGAGCGACTCTCGCGTTAGGCTTCACCTCGAGAACTTTATATCGGGTTGCATCCGGTTGATGCAAAGGTTCGTGTCCCGTTTTTTTCATCTTGGTTCTTCGCTCAGATATCTTGGAATGTCTACGAGCGCGCACCGAGGAAAGAAAGGCTTGAACATTGATTCGTGAGGTATAAGGTTGATTTCGCAAGAAATAAACGTTTATCCCTGACAAATGAATGAATTAACAAGAAGACTCGGGTATGTTTCACATAAATATATATCCCGTCATGACGAACGAATTCTTTTCCAACCGATGAATATCGAAGAAAGTGTTATCGTGAGAAATATTTATTTCGCAAAATTTCAATTCCTTTTTCTTAGCGCGGGGTCATGCGGCGAAAATATTTAAGTAGTTTTTAACATGCGGTCACACAAATTATTTTACTGCTTGTATTAAATTTGCGTATCTGAGGCATTTTGTTGTTGCTAAAATCTTTCGTCTTATTAAATTGACGAGTCTACTATATACTAAAAATCGACACTTCGTAAGATTACGAAGACTCGTACGCAAAGTTCGGGATCTGAATTTCGGAATAATTTCGCCTCCATTCTCACCTCTTTAGGCGCTCCAATTGACAACTTGCCCCGTGGGATTCTCGGGATTTCTTGTAATTTTTCCTACCGCAAAAGTCGCGATGTGGAATAGGGGGCTTCGTCCCCGGGACCCCCGACCGATGGAAATCAGGGGCCCAGGGGGACGAAACCCTTCACAACGCGACCACTTCCTCAGCAGCAAGAAAAATTGTAAGAGCTCGAGAATTCCAAATCCCACGAGGCAAGTTGACAACTGGAGCGCGGATGAGGAGGCGAGACTCATGGGACGAAATAATTTCAAAGTTCAGATCCCAAACTTTGCTCAGGGACCTTTGCTAATTTCTTCAGAATCTATTTTCAGAAAGATTCAAACGTCAATAACCGGGACATTCAAACTTCTTTCGTTAAAAGCTCTTTAAAGTCGCAATGAACGACAGCTGAAACTTTCTGAATATTATTAAGAGCGATGACCTTGGCAACACGTGTCAAAGTCACAACTGCCTTTCGTTGTTCTGTTAAAAGCAATTTCTGCCACCTGTCATTATTATTATTACTATTGACACATGTATTTATTACTTATTAAATTTCAATATTATCATATGATTATTTTATCATTATTTATCATAATATTATACCGGCCATTTTATAATATTAATACCACAGATATTGGCCAGGGGTTGTTCTCTGAAGCGAGATAACGATTCAAACGGCGAGCGACGTGGAGCAACCGGCTCACCTGTTGTTGCACGTTCGACGCCGCGACATCCGCGGACGTGTCGTTGAAGCCGGGCTCGCATTTCACGATGCTCGAGGAATCCTCGCAGCTGGACTCCCGCGAGGAGTTCTTCGACCTCAACTCCACCGGCTCACTGTTCCGCGTCACCCGACCCACCGACACCCTCTTCTGTCCTTTGAATCTGGTCTCCCGCTTGAACATCGGGGGTGGTATATGCTTCTGAAAAAATGTCATCGTAAAGTCGGCGGTCGCCGAGGCGCGATCGACTCCTTCCCTTCGCACGAACGGAAATATTCGGCAAAATTGCAAAAGCGATTTATCCAGTGAACACCAACCAACGGTAACACAACATCAATGTTGTCATTTCCCACTCAACAATGTACATAACACGCGCGTAATATTGCGTTCACATTATTGAATGGGAAACTGTAACATTGATGGTATGTCACTGTTAATCGGCGTTCACTGAATTGAGCGTAATCTAAGCGGAATATTTCCGAATTCCAGATAATAATAGCCGTATCGTGTTAAGCCGGATGCGCACGGAGCGAACGAACGAAGAATGCAAGTTTTCGTCGTTATCATTTGGAAGATGTGTGGGTTACAACGAATCCGAACGTTTCGATTTGTTCGTCTAGGTGCTTTATAAAAGAAGGTTCGCGCGTGTTTAGATGCGAATATACGCATTTCTGTTACACGTTCGTTGTTCGTTCGCCCGGTGTGTACCCAGCTTTAAACGACGAGCCGTGCGCTCACAATTTGCGTCTCCGTGGACGGCGGCAGCTCGTCGAAGCTGTCCTCGTGGCCGTCGATCACCATCGGGTCGTCCTCCACTTCGATCTCCTCCACCTTGATGGGATCCTCGAGCGGATCGATGTCGGAGTGCTTCGGCAAAAACGGTATCACCGACGGCTCCTTGATGTGCACCCTGGTCTCGATGTGGCACCGTTGCATGCGCGCCTCGACCCTCGCGTACGGATTACGATTGTTCTCCTCCTGGTTATTCTGTTCCCCGGAGAGGCCGCGGATCTCCAGGTCGGTCGCGGTCTTGATGAGCGAAGGCAGATGCTGCTCCGCCACGTCGATGGAGCCTCTGTACATGAAGTCCAGGAGGCACTCCATCTCCTCGACGGCGACCCCTGAACGTCAAACGCAATGTGCATTACGACCCTCGAAGTATCCTTCACTCTTCCCGAATCTTCTCTCGCCTCTGGCTCTCGTGAATCAGTCGGTCGTTAAGTTCCGTCAAGTATCGCAATTTGCTCGTCATTTCTCGCCGATTTTGACGGAAGTTTCCGTTCGAAGCTAAATCCACGGGAAGGGCGCGGCACTAACCTCGGGAGCCAATTTAAGCAAGACAAGTCTCAGTTGACCGAATCCCCGCTGAGAACCTGCTTCCACGACGAAACTGCGTCGACGACTTTCGTACACGCAGGACATTTTGGCAATTATGAAGTTATAGAGAGCAACTCCTCCGATCTCAGTGATTTCGAGATCAAGGACATCGTCCTGAGTAGCCTTCGAAGAGTTTCAGCCGGCGCTCATTGTTTATTAAGAAATTATTAAGAAATAAAGGGTAATAAATGGAGTGGAATTTCTGACATCCTATGTGGACTGATTTCGTCTTCATCTGCATCATAACTTGACGCGATGTGGAATGGCGAAACTTCGCCCCCCTCCCAGCCACGTGACCGGGAGGATGCGTTCTCCACATCCCCATCCGGGAGCTTTGCCTCCGGGAATCCCCGGTAAAAGACTTCGCCTCTGGGAACCCCCGATAAAAGACTTCGTCTCCCCAAATTCTTTATTATTTCCAGTTAGGGGTCCCGAATGGGGGGTCCGGGGACCGCAAACCCCCCAGTCATGTGGCTGGAGGAGGGGGGGAGCAAAGTCTCGCCATTCCACATCGCATCAAATAATGAAGGAGATTCATCTGAAGGCAACAACGCGCGCGAGCAATAAACAATTCCAAATTCGAAATCAATTATAAGTACTTATTATTTTTCTCTTAATAATGATTGTAACTTCAAAACTAGGGATGAGCGACCTCCTTAATTTTGGACTGAAGATACTCATGAACCTTCCTCCTCCAATGTATTTCAAGGTCGTTAAAATCGGCGAGGTCGTCGAGGTATTGTAAATATTTGCCCAAACTTCTTTCGTTAATAACTTTTTTTAATAAACAATGAACACAGGCTAAAACTCTCGGCAGATCACTTTGTAGTGATTTCTTTGACGACATATCTCAAAATGATTGAAATCGGAGGATGGCCCCTATAATTAATAAAACATAATTACCAGATTTTTGTTCGAATATTGCAGCACGCCAATAACAATTTACTACACTGAAAAACCCATTCAGTTGACCCGAACAAAATTTGGTTAGAATGTGTTCAACCAACTCAATGAAACTAAAATGTATACATGACAATAAAATAAAGAAATAATTTAGTAAAATATATTTTTAATTTGATCGTCTGTAAATTTATCATGTACATAAATTCACCACGTATATAAGGAGATATCGGAAAAGCAAGTAAATGTTCGCATCATCGAGAAAAATTCTCTACTTGTACCTTTCAGGATGAGGATGGGCTGTTCTCCATAGTGCTCCTTGAAGACCCTCTCGAAGTAGGGGCTGCATGCCGCCAAGACCAGCCGGTGAGCCCTCAGCATACCACCCTGGCAGGCGAGAGTCACGTCCGTCAAAGAGCCGCTCTTGTAAAGCGTCTCGAACAGACCCGACAAGTTCGCCAGGTGATTGTTCCACGTGAGGTTGAACGTCTTCTCACCCATGCTTCTGTCGAGCGTCAGCGTGTTCCTGAAACAAGTGAGTTCACTGCTGCACTCGTGTTCCCGCTCGTACGGCTGGCGTGCGTCACATCGCGCCACACAGTCAGTCACAAAGAGGTTGTGATACTTTCTACTTAATAATAATAATAATAATAGTTTATAACAATTATAGTACAATAATAATATAACAGTAGATTATAGTATAATAGTAATAAAAATAGCAACTTTCTGTAAGTTTTCGACGCATCCCGTGTTCAATAGGAGAATTTCAGTCACTTTCGAGAGACACAGATTTCCCGTTAAACACGAGATGCGTTGCGAAAACTCATCGAGAAGAAAGTGTTGCGACCTTTTTATGACATACTATACAATCGTAAACAAAACGGTTTGGACGCAGCTAAGTTCAAAGCGCACGTCCGATGAGAGAACTTATCTCTGACTAATTCCTCCTCTCACTGGACCATCGGATCGGAACTGCGCTCTGAAGCTCAATTGCGTCCAGACCGTTTTGTTCCCCACTGTACAGTAGTGGACACGGTGAAATGTCGTTACACTTTCCCTCGATGAGTTTCACAACGCGTCTTTCACATCCAATAAGGCAACGTATCTCCTGGGAATAATCGGGGAACAAATTCTCCCCCGTCGAACACGTGCGATGCGTTCCACAACTATCCAAAAAAAGAAAATGAAAGAAAACGAAAAAAAAAAGGGGGTCATAATCCATCACTGTGCACACACGTTCGATCGCGCGTCGTGCGAGAACGCAACTCGCGTGAAAACAGAAGAAAAAAATAAACGCGAATCACGCGCGCGCGCGCGGGACGCGAACGTCGCGCTTCCCGGCAATAATCCGGCAATAATCGTTGCGTCACGCGAGAGAGTGAAATAATCGCGTCGCGTGGCGACGCGGCAACGCGCCGTCACGTCGCTTTAATTCACACGTTCCGCGCAATTATTCCGCGCTCGTACACGCCGAGATGCCCGCCACCATTCGCGCGCCGCCTCGGTACCTTCTCCCTCCCCCGTGCTGATCGGCGTATCGCAACCTGGCCGCTTCTCGTACGTTATTAAATTGCGACGGCGATTAAGTACGTCGGAGAGAGAGAGAGAGAAGGAGCGAGGAAAGACCGCGCGAGCTCACCTTGGAAGGATACCTTTTTCTATTCGCCTCTCGTTTGTTTGTCACTGGCGACGACCGGGTGAGGGGAGAGAGGGACGTTACGAGAGGGGGGATATCTCAGTACGTATCTACGATCTCGGATTCGAACGCACTTGACACCTGCGATACGGAGGCCTCGTCGACGCGTCGTCCGCGCTCGATGATCGTCTCAGAGGCTCTCCGACATCCTTCCTCTATCCTTCGTATATCGCGCGAGCTCACCTCGGAGGGATGTTATTCGTCGAAGGATGCGCGTCGCCGACAGGGGAATTCGATGTGAAGTCTCGGAGGGTCTCCGCCGGCGCGTGTCTACCCTGTTTTGGAGTTCGACGCGCGCCAACAACGCCCGCGCGCGCGCGCGCTTCAGGCCCTCGTCTCCCTGTCGTTGTGTTTCATCGTGTAAGCTCGAAAGCTCTCTCTTTCTCTCTCTCTCTCTTTCTCCCTCGCTTCCTCACTCGCTTTCTCTCCCTTTCCTCGCAAACGCGCTCGGCGATCTAAAAGTCGACCCGGCTCGTACGTGACTCCCGATTTTTCGATCTTAAACACACGAGGTGCGCGCCCCGTCGTCGGCCGCGCTCGTCGGCCAGGTCGAAAATAGTGTCCCGGAACGGAGGATTCACGTTCATGGTCAGACGGTGTCGCCGGTGTGCTCGGGTGCAGCGACGTCGCGCGTCGTTCTATGGCCGACGCGAGCTCGCGGGGGTGTCGCGGCGAAGGGATCCCGCAGGAGGTTGTCCAGGAGGGCTGCCGGCGGCTCGCGTACCTACCGTGCGTGCATGTGTACGCGTGTGTAGGCCAAACGACGACGACGACGGCGACGATAGTCATGCGCAGACGTAAGCCCTCGAGTCGCCTCGATCCATAATTTTGTTGGTGGACCCCCCCACGCATTTCCAAGGGATCCCGCCACGGACCAAACGCACCCTTTTTTTTCCCTCCTTCCTTTCTTCCTCATCGTCGTCGCGGCCGGCGGTAAAACATCGCCGGAGCACATGCGACACGGGCGAATTTAACGGGGGACACCGGGTCGCGCGCCATTTCGAAGCGAAACCCGTCGTCGTCGTCGTTTATTTACTCGCCGGAGGCACGCGAGGATGATACAAATACGCGCGTCTTCTCCGAGGTAATCGCGCGAAGGGCTGATCCGCCGTTTCCTTCCCGTGCAGAAGCTTGCCAGCAATATCGCCGCAACGTTGCGATATTGATGAGCAACGGTTCGGCGATCGGTCTCCGTTCTTCCTAGCCGAACTGGTGTAGCGAGCTAAAAAGCTCCGGCCAGAGAGCTTTCGGCTGAAAGGAAAGGAAGAACAGACCGATTTCTCGGACTCTCACGCCTCGGCGTGCGTGAACCCCTTCAACAGGCGCAGTCCGGCTCAACTGGGAGAAGCAGACCGAGAATGCTAGCCGCAAGCTGCCGCAAGCTCCTGCGCTGTGTATCGGTTGTTGCAGAGAGACGTACGCTTCGCAGGACGACCGTAATCCGGTCGGCGTTCCACGCCTTCGTTTCGAGCGCGACGAAGCGGCCCGCACGGACTCCGCGCGCATTTCCGTCGCGGACTCGCTCTCCGGGCTTTGCGAGGGATTCGCGAGAGAGAGAGAGAGAGAGAAACGCGCGTGGGCGCGCTGGTAGCGCATCGCTCACGTGCGGCTTGCGACGGATGATGACATGGACGGACGGACGACGATGACGGGAAGCGGAAAAGCGCCGCGGGATCGGATTCGCCGCACGTGACTACCGCGTACAAGAATGCGCGCGAGCGAGAGAGAGAGAGAGAGAGCGATTCAGTCGGCCGCCTTCGCCGCGAGGAAACGACGCGGCGACGTCGCGCGCGCTGACTCGGCGCGGTACCCCGGCGCTCCGCGCCGCGAAGCTCTCTCTATTAATATCCGCGCCTCGACGTCGACGTCTCTCGGAAACCGCGCGCTCCGGGGGGAACGACGGAGCGCCGGGGGCTCGGATGGAAGGCGCGGCCTCCTCTCTTACCTCGTTGCCACGTACTCGCGGTGCTCGTCGTGGAAGTGCGTCTCGCGCGACTCTTCGCGCCCTCGTTTCGACTCGCGGGAGGTCGCGAGGGCGACGGGGTAACGAGCGGGCCACCCCGAGACTCCTCTACTGCTCCATCCGTGCGCCGCTGCCCCGCTCCTCCGCTCGCGGAAGTCTTCCGTCTCTCTCTCTTTCTCTCTCTCTCTCTCTCCGTTCGGACACCTCCGTTCCTCGTAGCCGCTCGTCGGTCAGTCAGTCAGGTTGATGGACAGATAGGTAGGCCAGTGGGCCTCACTGGGTGCGGGCGTACTCCGAGAGGAAGAGTTGGCGCGCGACGACGACGAGGAAGGCGGCGACGGCGCGCGATGTACTCTCCCGCTTTGGAGGGGAGAGTTCGCGTATCGAAGAAGATTACGCGCGAGGGGCACGGCAGGATGGCGACGGCGGTGCGACGGCTAAGCGACGTGCTGGGACTCCCTCGACCGAGTCGCGACTGATATCATTTCCAGCTGTAGGGGGACTGTAGGGTCGGCAGCCAGAACCCCACCAGGGGGTCTTCGTGCAACCCCCACGCGGTGTCGTGGTGGTAGTCGTGTGTACATCGTCGACGTAGTCGCCGCCGCCGCCGTCGTCGCTGTGCGTCGTCGTGTGCTGGCCGGCCTCTCGAAACCCCCCGCGCACGCACACGCGTACGCACTCGCCCGCGTTTCGTGTGTGTGCGTGCGTGTGTGGGTGTGTATGTGTGTGCGTGTGACGCTTGTGAGTGTGCACGCGCGGAGTACGCCACGGGGAGAGATCGTCTCTCTCTCTCTCTCTCTGTCTCGCCGGTCTTCCCTCTTTTTCTCGCGTCCGCCGAGCCCCGATTTCAGCGTCGTCCGTCTTTGTCTCGCCGAGTAGCGTGTAGTCTCCTCTCTGTCTCTCTCTCTCTCTCTCTCTTTCTCTCTCTCGCACGCGTCGTACCACGTCTCGCTCTCGCGCACCACATATACATATACCACGAGCTCTCTCTCCCCCCCCCCCT